AAGGAGGGAAGGAGGGAAGGAGGGAAGGGAGGAAGGAAAAAGGTGATGGATTAGGCCTCAGAAGATATGGATTCAAATCCCTGTTTTGCCATGGAAACTCACTGAGGGGTGGTGGGAGATGGATTAGGCCTCAGAAGATATGGATTCGAATCCCTGTTTTGCTATGGAATCTCACTGAGGGGTGGCGGGAGTAAACCCACTCCTTAAATATCTCACTTACCATCAAAGTCCTATTAAGGTCACTGCTAATTAGGTTGATGGCCCATTGTGCGCGCACACAATTTATACTGCATATAGCACACTACAACTCCCACATCCCTCACTGTTGCTAAACTGTGTTGCTAAACAGGCTGATGGGCACTGTAGTCCAACAACTCCTCAGTGCAGCTGGTTCTCCACCTCTGGCACCGAAGAGGCAACCCCTGGAATTGTAAGGGGGTGGGAATTGAGAACGTCCCTTAGCGAGGGAGCGGCCCCACAGAACACCTGGATGGAAAACCGGCAAGTTAGCACGTGCAATTTCACACAAATTAAGCATCCTCTTTTGCCCTCTGCGTTGGCTACGAAGCCAGCTGTGGTCAGACCCTGCTAGCAAACCGAGTGCATGTCAAGGTTGCTGTGGGGACTACACTTTCCATCATCCCCCCTCACTAGCAAGGCCACTGGGGAGCGAGGCTGGTGTAGGAACTGTGATCTCAAAAAGCAGGTGTGGTAGATTCCGATTCTGGAGACCCTCAGAGGCTACGATGTCCTGGGTTTTTGACTCTGTGCATCCTCTCAGGCAAAAGACTTCCTGAACTCCAGACTTTAAAGCCCTCTCTCGTGGCCTGTTTTCAATCTTGGGACAAGCAGGAAGGGAAAAAAAGGATCTACAAAAACTTGGAGCGGTAAAGATCTGGAGAACTTGCAAATAAACCGAAGTACTGATTTTATTTTAATTTTTAAAGCAGGCAAGGGAAAGGAGGAGGAGGAAGGAGATGGGGATTGGAAAAAAATGTTATTTTTAAAAAAATTTAACGAAGGCTGTTAGATGTTTAGTCTGGGGTTGAATGGGCAAAATAAAAATTAGAATGGAAACCGGGCAAAATTTTCTGGGTTAAATGTGTTCAACCAGTAAAGTGCAGCTTTCTGAAAGGGCAGACTTGACAAGAGGGTGACTTTGCAAAACAACAACAACAACAACAACAACAACAACAACAATGCTGACAGATTGGGTTTCGAAGCCAGCAACACCCTCTTCCCTGGGATTCCAGCACCTAAAGCTTGAGATGGGGAGGCGGAGCTTGGTGTGATGTCACCGAGGCAGGGCAGGCAGAGGGAGTTGACCTTCTAGGCTTTGTATCCTTTTAGCAGGGCCTTTTTTGTGTGCGCAACCAGGAGGCTCGTGAGTCAAGGAGGCGGCGCTCCACTCTCTTTCTTGTTTGTGTGGCATGGCAGGTACCGGGCATGGGCTTTTTTGATTTTTTTTGAACAATGGACCTCAGACATCTGCAGGGATTCCCCCCCCCGCCAGAAATTTGTGGGGCTTGAGTAAAAAATAACTCCCCAAGTCTGTTCAGGGGCCTGTAATCCCTTTCAGCAGAGAAATAATGGCTTCTCTTGAGCATGATGGTGATAGAGGAATTGGTTGGTGGAGCTAAGGTCTCTGGGAGATGCAAGGTATTATGAGCCTGGTAGTCTCCCTGCTTCTCAGGAAACTACCAGGCCCCTAACGCCTTGCAGTTCCCATTGAAGTTAACCACTCCTTCTGTCTTCATCCTGTATGACAGAAGGCATTATTTCTGAAATAAAATGGATTACAGATACTGGAAAGGACTGGGAGTTTTATGGGTAAAGCCTTCAGAAGAGAGGGGGGGATTCCTGAACAAACACAAAAACCCTGAAACGTCCAAAGCAGGGGGAAAGAAGGCACCCTACCGATTTTGAGGTCACTAGGCATGGATGGAGACACTTCCCGGAAGCTGAACGGGGAAACGTCGCTCCACATGCGGAAAGCCGTGGCCAGCCCCTTCCTCGTCTGGCTTTCGTTGATCAGGTTTCGAGGGAAGGACAGAATCCTGCAGGGGAATTGGGATCACAAGAGAATAAAGAAACGACGGTGGGAAGATTCGCAGGAAAGGGAAATTAAATTGTATGAAATCTCCCGGAGTGAGAGGTAGAACCTGGAAAACTTTTTAAAAAATTAATGAACTTACTTGTAGGTGAGATTGAAGTGGTCCCACCTCAGGTGCCCCGGCGTTAAGGTGTAGCGTTTCTTCCGAATATGGGGGCGAGCTGGAAGCGGGAGATGGTGGAGAGCCACGGAAGGGCCTGGAGGAGAACCAGACGGAGCAGCAGCATCCTTAAAAAAAAGAAAAACAATGGGTCCCAAGTCTTTTTGGGGAGGAAAAAGCAGAAAGGATCACCCTCCCACCAATATTTAGAGCTTGCCAACGTGTGTATTTTCAAGGTATCACCCTTAAGCTTCTCAGCCAGCCTGATTTCTCCCAGGAAATACTAGGAACTGGATTCCTCTCAGATTTTCAGGACAAGGAATCCAAGAATTAAATTCCTTTTTAAAGACTCTAATCCCCAAAATCGCCTAATCAGGATGGCTGTGGGGGGGAATGATGGATCTATAGTGTTGTGGGTTGGTTTTGGTTTTTTTTAAAGTTTTGAAAGAAAGCTTTTTTCTAGGTTTCTTTTCCATTTTCTGTCTTTTTCACGAAGGCCGTGAGGCATCTGTGTTTGAAAGACAGGATTTATTTTCCTATTAATTAGTAGCTGCTTCCCCCCCACCCGAAAAGTCATTTTACCAAGTGTCTTCCCTTTCCCCCACTAGCCACCTTTTCCCTCCAAGTGTATTCCTGATTGAGCAGAATTTTTCCAAAGGCAATTTGGCGGGCCTCTGGGAAGCTAGCTTAAAAGGCTGCCATGTCCTTTTCCATCTCTGGCATGTGGTTCACAGAGACAGACTGCTCCTGAAGCTGGAGGTTCCATTTCACAGTCACCATTTTTTTCACCCGCTCAGCGCCCGTTCGGTCCATGAATTCGATGAAGGCTTTAAAAAAAGACGACACCGCTGGAGCAAGAGCCTCGAGAACTTGTCTGCGAACCAGAATCTGGTCCTTGGGTGAAGTTCTCCACCCTTAGTCTAAGAAAAGGGAAATTCTGCCTGTTAACAAACATGGCAATCAGATCTGAAAGTTGCCAAGGGGGACAAGATTCTGTACGATGCTCTAGAGGCATGGAATTTCCCTGTCCTTAATGGGAAGACCAATGCATTTGAAATGGGTTTCATTTGAAATGTGGTCCTGCAGGAGAGAGCTTTGCAGCTACCCTGGACTGCCAGAAAGACAAATTAGTAGGTACCAAATCAAATCAAGTCTGGAGGAAGAGAGAGCTTTGCAGCTACCCTGGACTGCCGGAAAGACAAATCAGTAGGTCCCAAATCAAATCAAGTCTGGAGGCAAAAAAATCAGACCAGAATGCTGGGAAAGATTGAAAGCAGCAGGAAAAGAGGAGGACCCCAATACCAGATGGAGTGACTCCCAAAGGAAGCCACAGGCTCTCATTTGCAAGAGCCGAGCGGGACGAATGAGAACAGGACATTGTGGAGTGTGTTGATTCACAGGGTTGTCACGAATCAGTGGTGACTTGATGACTCACAATAACAAATGAGATGCTCTTAGCACAGAAGCCCAGAACTCAGTTAGTCTTGATGGCTAGCCTGACCCTTTGTGTTTTTTTGCTAGCTGCCTTCTGCTGTTCCCCCAGTCTAAACAGGCTTAATTTGATGCATCTCTGCCTGACGCATCGCAGCAGCCGCTTGAACCCCGTCCAACTCTTGGCCTTCTTGAGTCTTCCTCTGAAAGACTTGACTCCAAGCTGGCTAATTAAAGGCTCCAGCTTGACGCCCACCCGCTGAGCCCGACAGGTCTCCTCAGCTTCAGGGCGTCTGAGGGGCAGCAGGTATAAGACTCAGCTCTGATGAATTCCCCCCCCCCAAAAAAAGGAACAGTTTGCTACTTCGAAATGCTTAGATTTGCTGCCGTTTTTATGGCTTTTTTCTCTCTCGTCAGAAACAATCTTTCATATAAAAAAACAAACCGCACTCCTAATGACAGGCAAAATGTTGCCCCAAATTCAAATCCTAAAATATTAGAATTCCAAAAAAATAAAAAGTTATTTTCTTTTCCTTTCTCTCTCTTTTCTTTTTTTGGGGGGGAGAGGTATTCAGTGTTTCCCCTAAATTTTCCAGCTCTCTGCAAAAATAGGAATAAGGGTTCTGGATTTTTAAAATTCCCCTACAAAATTCTGATTTATGCACGCCAGGGATTTTGTTTTGACAGATCGACAATTCAGCTTTTGACAGATCGACAATTCAGGCCATCAAGTCCATTCTTAGTTACAGAGATTTCAGGGTTTTCCAGGCAGAGAAGACTCAGAAGTGGTTTCCCCTTCCCTTCCTCCAGGGGGCGCCCTGGGGACTGTGCAGCTGGCCCAAGGCTACCCAGGCGGGCTCTACTACTACAGTGGAAATCGAACTCCCAACCTCTGCAGACAAATACCTAAACCACTGAGCTTTCCAGCCAGCTCTTCTCCAAGATCTGGGGGAAAGATCTGTCTTAATAACCACCCTTCGTCTGTGGCTCTCAGTGTGAGCTCTGCTGGCTTGTCGGGGTGCAAAGCTGCAAATCGAAAGGATGTTAACTCTATGACGCTCATGCTGCTAGTCCTCAGGACCCCAGGAAACACTCTTCAACTTCCCGTCAGTTAATCATGTGATGAATAAGGGGTGCGTGTGGAATAAAATATCTAAACGTCGCTGTTGTACAGCTCAGGTTGGACGTGAAGCTTATATAAGGATGCAAGAGCCATCGCTCTCTCTGTCTCTTCCCTTGCCAGTGCATAAGTAGGTCAAAAGTTTGATCTCATTCCCAAATCTGGAGCGAAGGAAGCATGACGCCTGTTGACGGATGGGCAGACTTCAAGCTTGTAGGCTCAGTGTTTGGGTTTCCCTTCGGCTTCGGCGTCCCTGGATCGCAGCCCGCTCAGCATCTGAAAAAATGGGCTGCGGGCCATGAAAATACACACTGAACAAACCCACCTTTAAGGTGGGCCAAATTGATTCGGCTTCAGCAAATGAACATGGAATTGGCTAGCATCCCGTGGAAAGGGATGAATTTATTTTTCCGAGCTGGGAAGATTCCCCCTATAAAAGGAACTCATGGAGTTCTTAATTACTTCCCGATAGGGTCGCCCGAGGGTTCGATCCTGCCGGACAAATTATTTCTTGTGTTGCTGGTTATCCACACATAATAGCCTACACCTAAATACCATAAAAATAGATAGAAACAATCTCTGATTCCATCTAGTGGCTGCTTCTGATATTGCATGCTGGAAATATAAAAAGACAAAGGACAAAACTTAAGAATACTTCCTTTGCTCCTTTGGAGGATAAGGAAATGGGACAAAAATCCTTAAAAAATACTGTCACAGGCCTCTTAAAAAGACCTTAAGATGCCCTTAAAAATTGCTCTTGAAATAACGGTGTGGCTTGTTATATATAGATAGCATCTATAAATAGCCTAGGAAATAACTTTGCAATTACCAGCTAGATTGCTTGCTACCCAACAGTAACTAATTACTTCCAAGTGCTTTTTAATTTTTTTTTTAAAACTAGATTTCAGACATTCCCAACGACATCAGTCATCTCCATGGAACTGAAAGGATGCCGAGCCCAGAAATCGGTTTTGAGTCCCAGCCTCAGAGAGTCTCTGCACACCCAAAAAGCCACAGTTTTTTTTATATTGTTTTGTTTTGAAAATTTTGCCACTTTGTCACCAGAAACACCTCAGAACAACAAAAAAGTGAGCAGAGAAAATATCTTGGGAGATTTTTGTCCCAAGACAAATCCAGCCAGATTTTCCTTTTCCTGGACCTTTCTTCACCCGATCGCTCCAAGTTTGGTAACGCCCAGGCCTGAGGAATTTATTCTGAAATACCTCAAAGTTTGCCCTTTAAATGATATTTTAGTCATCCAGGAAAGGGGTTACCTAACCCTGAATTTGAAATCTATCTGTAGAGAATGTGATGAAAACTTTTTCGGTGTGTTTCTGCATCCTCGGGGGGGTGGTGGTGGTGGTTGGCATAGATGACCTTCAGGGGTCCCTCTTTAAATCCTTGGAAACTCGACATTTAAAAGCTGTGTTGATGGAATCTGGACCACCTAATGCAAAGACAATGAATCAGAGACCTTCCAGAAGTTGACAAAAGATCAAGTCTTTCCTTGAACAGGCTGGTTAAATGTCTTCATGACATTTTCCTTTGACTCCTTCTCCACATTATCATCTCTTCTTACAACGATGTGCACAAAAAGAAAAGAGAACTATCCTTCTCCCATTTTGAGAAAGCCACGAGAGCCTTTGTAAGATAGGAGTTCGAATTCTGCTCTATGCTAGCCTCCCAAACCTATTTGGATCCCCAGCAACCATGCTCCAGGCCGGGTGGGTTAAAAAGACAAACAGATAGCTGTGGTGGAAGAAGGAGTGAGGTCAAGAATGACCACAAACATTCATAGTGAAGCAAAAGGTTGACTTCTTCAGCATTTTTCCCCAATTTAGAAAGCAGGACGCTAGCGCTGGGGAGCCAGCTGAGTGCAGTGACTGGAGCCCAGATCTAAGAGTGAGGAAATTTAAAAGTCTGCCATGCCCTGCAGCCCGTTGGTGGATGTCTCTCCTACTCTGAAGGGTTGTTGTGACAAGGCTGAAGCTAGCAAAGAGGGGCAAAATTAGCTGCCAAGGCAGTGATCATTAGTCTTCCTCTTAAGTCTAAGACTTAAAAACGATGGCAATACTTTTATGTTGCTTTTCTGTGACTCCGTATTTGTGCAATGTAAGAGTCTGGCCTGAAAACACAGCCCAATAAAGACACAAACACACACAGAGGGAAAAAAAGAATAGCAGAACTGAACAGACATATTGTCAAATCCCAGTTGGGCGGGAGACCCTGATTCTTGTGCCAGCCTGCTCTGCAGGGTTGTTAGGGGGATACAACCTCACAGGGGCAACCCATTAATACCCTCTCGAGCCTTGTGGGGAGGAAAGTGAGACCTAAGGAAGAGCAGCAACAAACCCTAACATTTATGGGGTGGTTGGTCGGAAAATCGGGACGACTTCTTACCTGGATTTTCTGTGCTTCTGTCGCCAGGAGATTTCCAAAAGCAGCAAAGAGAACCAGGAGGGGGAAAAGGCAGACGAAACTCAGAGCGCCTTGATATTTAGGATTTATCGGTCTGTCCGAAGGCAGAGGAAAAGGAGACGTCCCTTCGGATAGCTTTTTCACATGCTCCATGGCAGACATTAATTAAAACAAGACAACCAAGCGAGAGTTATAAATCCATCTAAATACTGGGCTGCGGAGTTTGAAGCAGCAGCAAACTTTGCTGGAAAATCACACACAAAAAAAAATTCCCCTTTCTCTTCTTGGTTTAAAAAAATAAAAAGAGAGAGAGAGAGAAGACTTTACATTAAAAGTCTGCTTGACAACTCCAACATTTCTTTTTTTCTTCTTCTTTTAAATGCATTAGGTCCTGCCAAGCTGTATCATATTACTGAGGGAAAGACCAGAGGAGGGGGGGGGGAAATGCACCCATGCGCTGTGAAACAGCTGTGCTCCAGGAAGGGCGATCGCTTAGCCAGCTGTGCTTCAGCAGCTGGATAAAGGAGGCTGGGAATTTATGTAACAAAATGCACAATCTACCCCACCTCCAAGAAGCCAGGAGGGGTGGGAGGGAATCCACTCCAGAAGTTTTAAGATTTCCAAACTTTTCTTTCTTTCTTTCTTTCTTTCTTTCTTTCTTTCTTAAAAGGGGAAATCTCAGGTCTGGCTGTGGATTCTGGGAATGGTTTATCATTATGTATTTATTTATTTATTTAAAACTTTTTTTTAAACGGCTCACGCCAGGAAAAGACAATACTGTCTCAGGTCCGGCTGTGGATTCTGGGAATGGTTTATCATTATGTATTTATTTATTTAAAACTTT